TCTGAATAGCAAAAAACTGCTGTGGATTCTCTTAGGGGAGGCCAATGCACTCATACCCATGCTCTGGAGACAGACTAAAATCCCCAGTGGATAAATAGGGTAAATATTATAAAAAGCCTCGAAAAACTACACTAGTCGGCCAGGTGACAAACATAAATATCTTAAAATATGGGGAGCCTGGTTGTCTTATTGGGCAATGCCTATGAACACAGAGGTAAACTATGGGGAGACCCCCATTACTAAAGAGGGGGTGGGTCAACCGTATAAGGTGGAAAGAAAGTGACCCATGCAAATGTTTTATTGATTTAGGTTTTACAAATCCTAAGCCATACCATTGTATAACATATTTTTTGCTCAGCAAATATAAACCATGGACTTTTCATATTTCTGCATGTAATTGTGATACTTAGTCCTTCACACCGTGGTCAATGCAACTGCATTTCATATATGTTCTCAGATACAGTCTGTTGTGTTCACTTCTGTGATGTGTTTTGGACTTTTGCTGACTGAGTTCCTCTGCTTACTGCAGTGAATAAAAACAAATTAAACAAAACAAACCAAAAAAAGGATAAAAGCTTCACACATACCTTCACACAACGTCAGCCAGCCAAATTACAACTGAAGTGCCCTAGACTGATGATTGGATAAAATCCCTTGCTGAATCCAGTATTTAATTAGCAGCAGTTCCCCAAGTTAAGGACTATTCATCTTTAATTCATTGTAAACTCACAGCAGGCCAGTAAACTTCAAAGTTCACCTAGTGTGTTGTACAAATAACTTGACATTTTATTTGAGTAGCTTAGAGTCTTGTATAGTAATCTCTTCTCTGTCATAACTGAAGAATCCTCACTGTTGAATAGCACTTACCTTTAAACTGCTATAATCAATATTGTACACTATCCCATCATCACAATCTTGTCCCTGTATAAATAAATGCCAAAATTGAATGCTCTACATAATTAGCTATGGCAGCTTTAGACAGTTCGACAGCAAGTGTACAAGTGGGTAATTCCTTTCTGAAATATGATTCTTAAATAACCTATTGTTCTGATAGCATATACCAGGGATTGGCAACCTTTGTCACTCCAGATGTTGTGGGCTACATAAACCTTGATGCTTGGCCAGCATTATAGCAGTAAGAACATTATGATAGATGGAGTCCACAACATCTGGAGTGCCAAAGGTTGCCTACCCCATGGAATAGACTATCCTTGGTCATTAAAGGATTACTCCAAACCTTATTAGTTAGATATTTTGGGGATTGGTAACTCAATCCACTCGCCCTGTAGCTATCATGGAAACCATTCATAAATAAGATAAAACTTACCTGGAATCCAGTACCAGCCGTTGTTCTCACTGCCTTCCACTACCTGTCCAATGTCACTGCTTTCCTATCCAAGATCCAAATAAATGCTTCTCATATAAGGTTTTCTAGTTACCACCCTACATTAATATTGTATCCATCGTAGTCTAGCTTGGAATGCCCTTGTGTTCTCACGTTAATTGACAACTCATTGCTCTTGGACATAATGTACAACACATTGCTCTCATTGATCTTCACTGTATGTAGTATGTAGTTTAAAACATGTCTCCCTTACTGCATATAACTGAAGGCAAAAAAACATTTTAATGTTTTACTCTAATACGTGTCATGATATAGAACATAAAATTCTATCTATACATTTTGGTATATATTGTTGCTAGCCAATGTATAGTTTGGGAGAAAATAGGCCTTTTTCCTAGATGTCATTCAATTAGACGCTATGCCGAAGATTTGGATGTCAAAGGAGAGCAGAAAATACCTCCTAGAGGTGGTCATCCTGCTCTTCACATGTGGTTGCTATGGAAACTCCAAAGCCTATGCTGCTGGGGCTGGCAAGATAGGAACACCGTTCAGATTCAAAACCTAGTCTGAAGCGCTTCCAATTTTGCAACAAACTAGGAAAAATTCCTTCTTGACCTCAAAATAGCAGTCAGATGTCTTCTTGGATCAAGCAGCTATTACCCCACTAATTAGAAATTATATCCCTGTATGTTATGTTTTTGCAAGTATTTATCCAATTGCAGTTTAAACATCTGTATAGACTCTGACAAAACCACTTCTTCAAGAAGAGAATTCCATATCCTTATTGCTCTTACTGCAAAAAAAACCCTTTTCTTTGCCTTAGATGAAATCTCCTTTCTTCCATCCTAAATGTGTGACCTTGTGTCCTATGTATAGCCCTGTTTATGAATAGATTTCCAGATAACGGTTTGTACTGGCCCCGAATGTATTTGTATAATGTTATCATATCCATCTGAGGCGTCGTTTTTCAAAACTAAAGCGATTTAAATTTTTTAACCTTTCTTCGTAACCAAAATGCTCCATTCCTTTTATCAATTTTGTAGCTTGTTTCTGCACTATTTCATGTGCCATGATATCCTTCTTTAGAACAGGCGCCCAAAATTGCACAGCGTATTCAAGGTGTGGTCTTACCACTTACCAGCGATTTATAAAGAGGCTAACGTTACATACAAACAGACAGGGACCAGATGGTGCTGCAGACAGGAACCAGATGGCACCACTCGTGGTGACGGGGTAAGCAAGGTCGCCGAGCGGCGCAGGGGACATGACAGTAATATACATTGTATTATGTTCATTGTCTAAATAAATATACAACAGCATTGAATTGTTCCTTTTTGCCCACTTTTATTTCCAGGCCTACCGCATCGTCGATTCCGGCACACCTCAACCGACTTTTCCTATAACAGGCTACTTCACAACAAGTCTTGCATTACCATATCAATGTGGCCCCGGACACAAATATATATAAATACACATATATATATAAAATATATACTTTAAAGCAATTTACCACTATGCTAGTTTTTTCTTTTTCGCTGACCATATTAACAGAGGATCTAGAACCAAGGACAGATTAATATAGGATCTGATGGAGCTGAAAGCCCATTGATTTAAAAAAAAATTAAAAATACTGTTAACATGCTCTTGCTTTGTTCTTTGTGCAGAGGGAATTAAGTATGGAAACTTAAAGGACCACTATAGTGCCAGGAAAACATACTCGTTTTCCTGGCACTATAGTGCCCTGAGGGTGCCCCCACCCTCAGGGTCTCCGCCTCCTCTTTGGCTGAATGCGCATGCGCGGCAAGAGCCGCGCGAGCATTCAGCCAGTCCATACAGGGAGTGCAGAATTATTAGGCAAATTAGTATTTTGACCACATCATCCTCTTTATGCATGTTGTCTTACTCCAAGCTGTATAGGCTCGAAAGCCTACTACCAATTAAGCATATTAGGTGATGTGCATCTCTGTAATGAGAAGGGGTGTGGTCTAATGACATCAACACCCTATATCAGGTGTGCATAATTATTAGGCAACTTCCTTTCCTTTGGCAAAATGGGTCAAAAGAAGGACTTGACAGGCTCAGAAAAGTCAAAAATAGTGAGATATCTTGCAGAGGGATGCAGCACTCTTAAAATTGCAAAGCTTCTGAAGCGTGATCATCGAACAATCAAGCGTTTCATTCAAAATAGTCAACAGGGTCGCAAGAAGCGTGTGGAAAAACCAAGGCGCAAAATAACTGCCCATGAACTGAGAAAAGTCAAGCGTGCAGCTGCCACGATGCCACTTGCCACCAGTTTGGCCATATTTCAGAGCTGCAACATCACTGGAGTGCCCAAATGCACAAGGTGTGCAATACTCAGAGACATGGCCAAGGTAAGAAAGGCTGAAAGACGACCACCACTGAACAAGACACACAAGCTGAAACGTCAAGACTGGGCCAAGAAATATCTCAAGACTGATTTTTCTAAGGTTTTATGGACTGATGAAATGAGAGTGAGTCTTGATGGGCCAGATGGATGGGCCCGTGGCTGGATTGGTAAAGGGCAGAGAGCTCCAGTCCGACTCAGACGCCAGCAAGGTGGAGGTGGAGTACTGGTTTGGGCTGGTATCATCAAAGATGAGCTTGTGGGGCCTTTTCGGGTTGAGGATGGAGTCAAGCTCAACTCCCAGTCCTACTGCCAGTTCCTGGAAGACACCTTCTTCAAGCAGTGGTACAGGAAGAAGTCTGCATCCTTCAAGAAAAACATGATTTTCATGCAGGACAATGCTCCATCACACGCGTCCAAGTACTCCACAGCGTGGCTGGCAAGAAAGGGTATAAAAGAAGAAAATCTAATGACATGGCCTCCTTGTTCACCTGATCTGAACCCCATTGAGAACCTGTGGTCCATCATCAAATGTGAGATTTACAAGGAGGGAAAACAGTACACCTCTCTGAACAGTGTCTGGGAGGCTGTGGTTGCTGCTGCACGCAATGTTGATGGTGAACAGATCAAAACACTGACAGAATCCATGGATGGCAGGCTTTTGAGTGTCCTTGCAAAGAAAGGTGGCTATATTGGTCACTGATTTGTTTTTGTTTTGTTTTTGAATGTCAGAAATGTATATTTGTGAATGTTGAGATGTTATATTGGTTTCACTGGTAATAATAAATAATTGAAATGGGTATATATTTGTTTTTTGTTAAGTTGCCTAATAATTATGCACAGTAATAGTCACCTGCACACACAGATATCCCCCTAACATAGCTATAACTAAAAACAAACTAAAAACTACTTCCAAAAATATTCAGCTTTGATATTAATGAGTTTTTTGGGTTCATTGAGAACATGGTTGTTGTTCAATAATAAAATTAATCCTCAAAAATACAACTTGCCTAATAATTCTGCACTCCCTGTAGGAAAGCATTCTCAATGCTTTCCTGTTGATGCAAGCGTCTTCTTACTGTGAAAATCACAGTGAGAAGTGCTGAAGCCCTCTAGCGGCTGTCAATGAGACAGCCACTAGAGGCTGGATTAACCCATAGGTAAACATAGCAGTTTCTATGAAACTGCTATGTTTACAGAAAAAAAGAGTTAATCCTATCTGGACCTGGCACCTAGACCACTTCATTAAGCTGAAGTGATCTGGGTGCCTATAGTGGTCCTTTAAGAGAGATGTAGGTGAACAAATCTTGTGTGAGACAAGCTAACAATTAAATTAATGTAAAGCTGACATTACACACAGTGCAAATTCTCTTGCTGCTTTGATCTCTCTAACACTGTGGCATGTCCCCTTTCTTCTACAATCACCTTTTCTCTGTCACAGCTTTTCTGCCTGCTAATAAGAAGTAAGGAGAGGAGTGGACAAGTGAGTGCTAGGGAACAGTCCCCAGAAAGCATAGAGCAAGTGCATCTAGAGCAAGTGCCTCATTAGCATTTGCGCCCAACTTAGGGCATTCTCTGCGTAGTAGGCCTTTAGTTGGCCAGACTGAATGATTAGTGGGCAGCCCAACTTGCATTCAAGCCAGGCTAACCTTTCAAGGCTTCAGACCGACCTGCCCCCTTTTGGGCATGTCCGCTTCCTTGGACTGTCAGTTACGTGATTAGCATCAGTAGCCCACCATTTTACTCCACCCACCCAAGGTGCTTGGGAGGTGTAGTATATGTGTGTGCTGCATATATATAGGGACATGGGCGCGGAGACAGGATGTAAAAAGAGAATAGTGAAGCTAGAAATCAGACAGTTTCACTCACTGACAGATCAAAAAAGCTACAAGCTTACACTGCTCTCATTCTGGCTGGTTCGGATGCCCCAGAATCTAGATAAATATGGGTCATTTTACTTTCAAGAAGGTGAGGACACAGAGGATGCTGATGTGTTCATTAAGAAATTTGATGAGATATGCTTACCAGAACAGAACATGATAATAGACAGACATGCATTCAACAAGATGTCTTAAACACCTGGTAAAGGAATTTAATGCTACACAGTGGCCATGATGAGACTGCTGGCTAAAAAATTAAATTTTGATGCACTACACGATAAAACAATACTCCACAGAATTGTTTGTTGCATCCACAACGATGCAATTCATGCTTGGTTAAGAAGGGAAAAAGACACTAGATTCAGCCGTCAGAATATGTATGTTTGAGCATTCTGAAAGGTCCACTAAGGAACTAAAAAGCAAGGCAGAAGTGTTCGTGGTGCAGCAATAAATATAAAATGTAATAAATGTAAAAGTAAATTGTTGCTAGTGAATGCAACATATGCCCAGCTTATACCAAACGGTGTAAGTCATGCAACAAATGGAATCACTTTGCGAAGTGCTGTAGATCCAAGCCTCATAATATATATGCATAGATAACTCCACCTAGTGGAACTAAAAAACATATGCACATAGAATAAATCAAGTGGAAAGTGAGTATCACCAAGAAAATGTGGACCTAATTGCAAATAAAGGAGAAATTTTGACCACCCTCTCAATAACCTGTAACAATCAGGTCAAACTGAAAATTTACACTACAATGGCAGTCAAGGAGAATGGCACAGTCTGCAAATTAATTGACCCTGTGCACCTTAATAAGGCTCTCCTGAGGCCTCATCACTCATTAAAGACTGTAGAGTAATTGATGCAGATACAGCATTTTAGATGCTTAGTGTGGATTCTGGTAAATGCCTCTGAATGAAGAATCATCAATATTCACAACACTTATTACCCCATTCAGAAGATACAAATTCTTACAGATTCCATATGGGAATTGACTTAAAATTATGTATTTCAGAGATGCATGGAACAGCTCTTTTCTGGACAGCCATTTCAAATAGTCGTGGATGATATTTTGATTTGGGGCTCTTCTCTTGAGGAACGCAACAAATGGCATAAATGTGTACTAGACCGTGTCAGAGCCATCAATCTGCAGCTCAGCCCTACTAAATGTTGTTGCAGGTTCTCAGAGGTGCCATACGTAAGCCACCTTCTCACAGATAAAGGTGTCAGGCATGACAAAAAAATAAACAAGGTCATACACCAAACGCCTAATGGTAATAGGAGCCGCACTCAATCCCAGCAGCCACCCGGTGCTACGGAGCAGGACCAGCAATCCCACAACGACAAAGCAGCACAAGAAATTCTCCAGGCACTCAAGGTGTAAAAGCCACCGATACTTGACAAGGACCTAATAGCAGGTCGAAATATTGCTGCTCCTTTTGTTCTATTAAAACTGCCTGTGGCTTGAACACCTTGAGTACCTGGAGAATTTTTTGTGATACACCAAATGCCTGTCCCAGAAGACAAACATGGATTACAAAGGTTTCTTGGAATGACCAATTATCTTTTAAAATTCATTAATCACTACAGTGAGTTAACATCTCTGCTCCATCAGCTCCTGTGCCGAGATGCTAACTGGTATTGGACTGAACAACTTGCTGCTGCTGAGGATGATTCAAATCATATCTAACAAGTCGATTGCTTTTTGATTTCATGTTATGTTATATATATGATGTAGAATATGTGTGTGTTGCACATATACATAAATGTGTGGGGACATAGAGTTGTAGACAAGAAAAGATAGTGAAACTATAATGGACTAATATTCCTCAGGAACACTGCTGGTGTCTGGCTATGCATCTCATTTGTCGCAGGTCAAAACAGCAAAAGGGTGCTCTACGAAGTACTAAAGATGTTTGCCATGAAGGGATTTTCAGTTGAATTTCTGTAATCCACTGGAAGCATTCATTGTGTTGAGCTATTTCAATTGCTTTTGTTTGATTTGTGTATTGCAAACAGATGAAAGTCTGTGAATTATAACCATAAACCTGATTTTCAATGGAGGTTAAATAATTTTGAATACAACTGTAAGTCATGACAATAAATCAGTTTGTCACAACGTGTAGAAACAGTGGCGTACATACCAGGGTCGCAGGGGTCGCACCTGCGACCGGGCACCGGCCCACCAGGTATGTACCCACAGGGCCAGCCTCTTCTCCTGGGGGGCCCAGGAGCCGGCCACCTCAGGGCCCCCCGAGGCTGGCCCTGCTGACCCCGGCGGGTGGGCTGTCTGGGTGGCCGGCGCGCGAGGGAGCACTCTCCCCTGAGTGCTTCGTCTTCTGCTCCCTCGCGCACCGCACTGATACCGGAGCCGGAAGTGCCGGCATCCCTATGCGGCACGCGAGGGAGCTGAAGAGGAAGCACACAGGGGAGAGTGCTCCCTCGCGCGCCGGCCACCCAGACAGCCAGCATGCCGGGGTCAGCAGGGCCACTGGACCCCAGGGAATCCCCTCAGCTCTCCAAAAGGTAAGGAGGCTGGGGGGATTAAATTTTTAAAAAAAATGTGTATGTGTTAGTGTGTTTGTGTGTATGTTAGTGTTTGTGTGTGTTTGTGTTAGTGTTTGTGTGTGTGTGTCAGTGAGTGTGTCTGTTATTGGGTGTGTGTCTGCTAGTGAGTGTGTTACTGAGTGTGTTTGATGTCTGTTAGTGAGTGTGTATGTATGTCTGTCACTGAGTGTGTCTCTGTCAGTAAATGTGTGTGTCTGTTAGCTAGTGTGTATGCGTCTGTTCGTGAGAGTGTGTGTGTGTGTCTTCAACATTTACCTTTCTCCAGCGTCGGACTCCCTTGGCGCTGGGGATCCCTCCACCTCTCAGCTCCGAATGCACATGCGCGGCAAGAGGCGAGCGCGCATTTAAACCGCCCATAGGAAAGCATTACTCAATGCTTTCATATGGACGTCCAGTGTCTTCTCACTGTGATTTTCACAGTGAGAATCGCGGAAGCTCCTCTAGCGGCTGTCAATGAGACAGCCACCAGAGGCTGGATTAACCCTCAGTGAAACATAGCCGTTTCTCAGAAACGGCTATGTTTTCAGCTGCAGGGTTAAAACTAGAGGAACCTGGCACCCAGACCACTTTATTGAGCTAAACAGCCCTGCAACCCCTGCGACCAGGTGCCCGCCACCATGTGTTGCGGCCCCGCGGGGGGCGGGCCCACTGATCAATTTTCGCACCGGGGCCCCATGGGTCATGTGTACGCCACTGTGTAGAAATATGTATTTACCTAGCAGGCTTTATAAAAGGTGACCATTCTGACCCAATTCCTTTCCATTTTCTCTCTGCTCAGATAATTATGTTCAGTCTGATTAAGTGGAGCCATGCAGACATCAGTTTTCCCTCAGACTTAAAGCAGACCTGTCACGTTGAGGTTCTTTGCATATTTTGCAAGATACCCAAAATTGACATCCCCGGTTAGGATCCAGTGGCAGAGGGGTGCAGTGGAAGGTAGGAATGCTCACCTGAAGCTGTTCTTTGCAGCACCTGCCATCTTCTTCTTGGAGGTCTTCTTCGCTTTTGGTGCTTGATTTTCCAGGAGTCGTGTCGGTGCAGTACTCTGGCAAATGTGTAAGAGGTCTATGGAGGATCCCATGACAGGCCCCAGAGAAGATGTCTTGCAATGAGAGAGACCATGCCTGACGTCTGCGATTGGAAAACAGTTGATAACAGAGCTCCGCCATTAGTAAACTTTTATCAACCTCAGGCTTCACCAAGAGACAAATTAGTCACAACTTTCAATAAGATCCAAACACAGTCAGCATTAACATTTCACAAAGATTATATCTGTATTATTTATATAAGAGTGACAGAGTCGCTTTAATACAGTGTCCAACAGCCTTAGCGTGTGTCTTTGGTGTCTGTAAAGATGGGATAGCACAATGGGCAGCTGCTGGTGGCTTGTAATGTGCAGAGTAGGATACCAAAAATGCACCTATAGGCAGTCGCATATTCTAATAAGTGAGAAATCTGTCCTTGCTTGCTGGACGCTTACTCATTCATCTCATTTTGTTTTCTCAGAGCAGGAGAAGCCAAAAGACAGTTTGTGCAAAAGGGCTTCTAATTCAAGTCATTAATTGGCTTGTTTGTGAGCATGCAGCTGACGTTCTCAGCCAATGCATGATTTCCTATATCAGCATCCAAGTTCTCCAGCTCTGAACATTTTGACCATATAAAGTTAAAATGTTGCATTCTACTGGCATTTTGGAAATCTACATTCTCAAAATAGCAACAGGTGCCTTGCAGATACCCATAGACATGGCATTTGAAATTGAACATTGTTGTATTTTCTGAATTATTATTCTAGCATTTAATCCAATCTTTCCAATAAAATACACTTGACTATGCAAATAAAAAATGAATAAAACTGTGTAATTTGCTGGTAGAATTTGCTATATTTGCTAAATTAATGTAATTTAATTGGAAACATTTTATCAGCTTCTTTTCCTAAAACAATATGGCATTTGGTGTTTTCTATTTTAGTTAGAAATGACTAATAGATTATATTTGAACAGATTGCTAGAAATATGTTGTTATAATGTCTATCTTCGTACCTTTTATTTAACGTTTTAATTCAGTGTAAAGAGAAAGACACATTACAGAGTTAGTGCCATTTTCTTATAAGATGAATTACATTTATCATGGAACCAATGCTATGGAACCTAGTCTCTGGTAGTGTACAATTTATGAATGTATTTACCGTTAATTTAATTAACATATGGCTCTGACCTGATCTGAGTCGCATGGGAATATTTAGAAATTGGATTTATTACAATGGCTCTTTCCCAAAAACTACAGGGATTTTATTTGGGATTCAATCAAAGATCTGTCTTGAAATATATGGACCATAATAAATAAGTTAATATTACATTTAAATATATCCCATGTATTTTGTGAAAACAGACACGACTTTTTCATATGAAATTAAAAGTAGCTGAATGAATAAATACAGAGAACCACAAACCAAACAAATTGGTTAATTCGTTCATCTTTATTACTGAGATGCTTGATATTTTTAACATGTTTTCATTTCTGTTTATTATGTTTTGTAGATCTTGGAGTCCTTTATTCATGCATTTATATTTGTTTTTAATCAAGCTTTTGGATATGTGTTTGAGCGACATTTAGGTGAGGTTCCGCTTCCTCTTGTGGTGTGGTATTTGTATGAGCCACTTCCAAATTTTCTATGGGTTCAGTGGGACTTCTATTTTAAGTTACCAGTGAAATCTTAATTTGCTGTTCTATAAGAGGATAGGTACCTTGTCAGTTGGAGTGATTTTGATAAATTTCAGTCGACACAAAACGTTGTGTTTTGTGACCACTTTCAATAGTGCCTGATGTGTTTTAGTAAATACATATATTTTTCTGATTATCGCATCTATGCTTTATGGATTGACTATCCAAAATGTTTCTATAAATTGGAAGCTGTCACTGATTTTTCAGATATTGAATTTACTGTCCATACATAAACAAATAAACATATAATCATGCAATATGAAAAACACTAGAAATTAATATAAGCATTCATCCATGTAAGTGTGAAAAATTTAACTTGTTTTAGTAGATGGGGAAGATCAACAACTCACTTACAAGAAAACGAGCCCAAACTCAGCTCTATATACACATTGTAATAATAACAATCCAGCTTGAGTGGAAAAACTGGTCCTTCATCCCCACACCAGCAAACACACTTTCCATAAAACATGCAAATTTTTTAAAGAAACATCCAATTCTTTCATGTAGATATAAATACTAGCCCAGTGAAAATCACTGTGAGCAAGATGAGCATGGCAAAAGAGTTGTCAGAACTCAAGCCAGATTGCATGTGGCTAATCCCCACTTGGTTCCACCTTCGTTAACACATTTCGCATTTATTCGGAATGATGCTTGGGCTTTTTCCTGTCCTCCATATGTACCCCTCAAAGTGCCAGGGGTCATCCCCTAATGCAGCACAGTCAAATTGATCCCCAAAAGAAAGAATGCCTCTGAGACACAAAAAGACTGGATTTATTTAAGAAAAACCCTGGAAAGGTGAATTACAAAAAACATATGAATGCTCATCTTATAGGAAATCTGTATGTACCCCAAGGCACATCAAAGTTTTTCCCATCAAACAGGATTGTTATTATCATAAGCCGCACAAAGAGCCAAGTCTAGGCTCCATTTCTTTAAGTGGCTAAATTGTTCATCTTTCTTATCTACTTATATTAGCTGTAAATTTCATACTTACACAGGTGAATGTTTACAAACGTTTCTAGTAATTTGCATGTTGTACTAAATATTTTCGTTTTTTTTGTTTTATGTAAATATCAACACCAAATTCAACATCTGCCTTACCGGCCTCTTTATTTCATATATCATAAAGGAGTGCCATTTTTTTTTTTATCCCCCTTCGCTTTATTTGTATTCACAAACAAAAATGTGGGTGTAAGACATCTTCAACATATGTTCAGATACAAAATATCTAAAATGATATATAATTAAAAAATGTATACTTTGTTGCCTGTAAAAATAAAAAAAAGTTTAAAAACTGTGAATTATAGTAATACATTGGAAATGTATTCATCAGTATCTTGCAAGAAAAGTGAGAAATTAGTTTTCAGCTTGCATAAATAATCCACCAATATATAATAAGATTAATTCATTGTTGAATTACTACATTGTTGTATTACTAAAAGGGACACTCTAAGCTCCATTGCACAATAAGGAATCAAACCATTTTTCAGTAGTCTGACCCTTACCTGGGCCCTTGACTTCCACTGTCCTGACAGTCTTCTTTGATATCACTAAAGAAGTAGCTCATATTCCAATTTAGCACTATCAATTTTGTCTTTATTAGAAATTAAATGATTGGCTAATTTTTCATGAATGAGGTCGAGAATTGGACAAAGGTGATATTTCTGAATTGGTATTTCCGCTTTAGCAATATTATAGAACGTCAGAAGGCATGTTGGCTTCCAAGACTCAGAACATTGTCACAATATTCAAAAATGGGTTGACCATGTGCAGTAGGATGGTGCCAATGAACTCCTAGCACCTTAACCACTAAGCTTTTCCCCTTGTCAAAATTTTCCAATGCTACTACTGAGTAGTCATATTTTTGTGATAAAATACATCCTTTAACAATTAGGTCAGTGAACATCCCTCCAACACACAGTGTGTTAATTAAAAACATGTTTTAAAAAGTATACTCTGTGTGTTTTTACTTTATATTTAAATGACATGAAGTTGGGATAAAATTGCCTGCAATAGCTTTCACTGTATATGGAGTGCTCCCAATCCTAGCAAACTTAGAAAAGTAATCGCCGAATAACCTCCAAGACAGTACTTATCTCCTGGTTGCCCTTATTTTGCCTCCATATGCTGTTTTTGTTTGTTTGTTTTTAGGGCCAAATTTAAAAAGGAAACACCATGATTTTATCCCTTAAAACACAGAGTTGATCTTAGATCTACTCTGCCACTGTAAGTGTTGTGGTATTACAAAACTTGTACACTTTGGGGCACATTACTTTTATGCATGATGCTTGGAAATACCTAACTATAAATAAAGAATAAAAAAAACAACACAGAGTATATCATCTGTCACACAATTTACAAAATACCATGTGCAATTAAAAGGCTACCAAATTTATCAGGCCTGTTCATCTGAATGAATTGGTCTGTGTGTAGTGTCTATGTCCTTTTGGTTTACATTGCATGGTAAAGGCTCAGAAGCCACCATAGGAAATCAACGATTCAGTGCTTTCCTATGGGGAAACTTGGACTCCTCTATGAGGAGCATTGAATTGGACCAGGCCAGAAGAGGCAATGCCTCCTCAATGACGTTGTGGGAGGCAAAGAGATAAGTAAAGGAAAGGTAAGTAGAAATCTTTATTTTACTTACATTTATTTGAAAAGAGGGGTTAAAATAGTGACAAGGACACTAAATGCTTAATCATGTATAAATAATTAAGGGTTGAAACGTTGTATAGTTTTTTTGTGTTCCTTTCTTTAATAAGTTGCACCATGCATCTTACCTGTTGAACCTGTGGATTTTTTATTAGAATCTTGAGGAAATAATCTATTGATAAAGACAGAAGTGTGCTATACAAGCTAGTTTAAGCTGTCTAAAATGATATAATTCCCTCCACTTTGATATAATAATAGCTCTTCTGGACTGCATTATTATTACTTTATTATACAAAATGACCTATATATACATATATATTAATTCTGTTCCTTTACCACAAACCAACTTTTCATTTTATAACTCTTGTGGAATTTTTAACACCAATTTCACAGTAGAGTGTGAGACCTATCAATGCAGAAAAATGTTACGGAGCCGTATAATGGATTAAAATGCGGCATGAGACATAAGATAATAATTATTACTATGCCTATATAATGACTCATCTTTATAATGAGTCTCCAACACATTTTACTGACACTCAAAATGCTAATGCCTGTAAAATGATTGAATTGCTGTGATACATTAGCACATATGCACACAGGGGCAGGTAAAAAGTAATATACCATAATTAGGCTGAATATGTATTTGTATATGTCATTCAGGAGCTAGTTGTCATTGTCACTCTTTACATATCATCATTAGATTGACAAAGTAAAATAGTGATTGTGGAAAGATTTCTAGAGATACTATTTAGACTGATAGCAGTAGTTATGTAATCTAGATTGTTCTGACATATTGCTTTTGTTTAGCCATGGAAGGGTAAATATAACATTAAAATCCTGTAAAGTAGCAGCTATCCATTAAAGGAACTGTATGGGCACAATAACAACCGTTAACTAATGGTTTTACCCCAAAGGTTGCTCTCCAGCACCAGATATCCCTGTCCCCAGTGGCATCTGCTTTCTCCAATGCAGTTTGATCAGGCTCTGAGCAGGGAGTGCCAATGAATGGCAAAGAGAATGGTCAACTGACGTTCTAAGCCAATGAACAGCTCCCCATCTATTAAAAAAAGGTACATACAGGTACGTACAGCACTGGAGAGCAGCCTTTGTGGTATAAACATTTGTGAATTTCAGATAACGCTCTCAGCCTATCAGCGGCCCCCATTTAGAGATTTCCCTATGGATGTTTTGGACTAAGAAAGCAAGTAGCTGGGCAGAGAGATTGGGCACCATCTTCCAAAGTTTTTGGGTAACAGTTTAACCTCTTAAGGTAAGATGACGACCAGGACCTCCTCACCCTATAACAACTACATTTTTTTAGGAAATTGTTATGGTGCTCAGAATTTCTTTTCAATAAATTAGGAATTTGCAGAAAATGATACATAGCTGGTGTTCAGTTTTCAGATCAAAAAAGGTCAGAAAACTGTGTAAGAAGTCAAATATATCGCACTCTTGGATGAACAGAAACCATGACAGGTCAATGAAACAAGGACAACCAGGAAGTATATACCATGTACTGGGCTATGATTGGTTACAGAGGGCCATGGTGTCACAAGTGTGTATATGTCATCAAAAAGCACCACAAATTATGTCATCATGAGGCACCAGGAAGCTAGGGATGAGAGGGTGTGCATCAGAACACAGAAGAGACCTCACTTCTGTGATCACACGGCGCCGCAAAAGACAGGTATTATGACACAGGAGTAATAAAAGGCAGGTGACAACACTAACAATAAGTATTTAATAAAATAAGATCCCAGGATTCCACTGCATAATAATTCCTTTAGTTTGCAAACAGCACATTTTCACACACGAGAATTCAAAGGAGCCGGACTAAGAACTTCCAATGCTGGTTGCATCCAGTTGAGGATGGAAGCATTATTTGCAAGCTATGATTATGATGTTTAATTCTTTCTTAACAACCTACAACACAGGCCATATTTACATACATAAAGAATGATAGTGAGCATAAGGCAAAGGTTTTTTTCTTTTCTTTTTAAACATACCACCCTGCTTCTGTTTTGTTTGTCTTTCCCTTTTGTTATTCTTTTTTATCTATTTTTTTTTTTACTTGTCATGAACATATTGAACGTATAAAATATCTATCAACCCTCTTCACACTTCAAAAACATGTCTAAATATTTGGACACTAGCGTAGAAGTTTTATGGAATTTCACAAATGTGACCATCTGTTGAATGTATTTAAAGCTGTTATACTTATTACATTTATTCAATTAAATGCTACTCATGTTATAAAAATGTATAAAAATATGTTTTTTTATGCTGCACTAAGGCAGTAACTTGTGGCATCTTACAGTTGTTTCAAGGCTATTAATCTTTATCCTGCAGCTAGTAGGCTACGGGGAGGTCGTACAGGGCTTCTTTAGACTGTTAAAATAACTCTTGAGCCTTTTACATCACATCCATGGGGTAAGTAAAATGCAGGAAATGGCAAATAAAGTTTTGACGATGTGGTACAGAACACAACATCTTCAGACCATCAATCCTACAGGCACTTTCTTACATATT